TTATCCGAATATTTTGTATTAATGAAAATCAGCTGATTTCTGTAAGTACTTACATCATACCACATATACACAAAACCATCCATATATACTAGCCTTGTGAATAGCATTTTTGGTTGTTGTTCAGTCGCACAGTCGAGTCCGACTTCGCGACCCCATGGACCAGATCACGCCAGGCCTTCCTGTCTTCCGCCGTCCTCTGAAGTTTCCTCAACTTCATGTTCGTTGCATCTGTGACACTGTCTAACCATCTCATTCTTTGCCATCCCCGTCTTCTTTGACCAGGAACAATATAACTGAATTGGAAGCTCTGAAATACAACAGAAGTTATCCTAGAGCGCTATGTTTTTGCAGGATTTCAAATTAAATTAATAGCTTTTTACCAACTGAGTTCTATAGTTTCTTGGATCATTAGTCTCTAGAACAGAACTGTTTACTTTTTATCCATGCTTTCTCATATATATTTTTCTTTATGAGACACCTTTGCTTTGAAGTAAATTTGCAATTTCTTCTTCACAAAATTGCCTATTATTCATTGTCCAAATGCAGAGGAAAAAGAGGGGGACACACAAACACCCCAATATGCTATTTGATTGACTTGTCCTGTTGGAGAGTCTGCACCTACTGTGAAATGAAGTCATGGAGGAAAAAGCAGAATAATTTAACTTTTTTATTTGTAAAGATAATCAGGGTTTTCTGATTACATCTTAACTTCATAAATGTTAAATAACCTATCAGCATCTAGTTGTTGTAAATTATGAAAAGGAGTATTGCTGGGAATATTAACCAACTAAATCCTTGTTCTTTAGTGAACATGAAAATGCGTTATGGCAGGTTGTCATTGTGCTCACGGTAACTTTGACACCAAATAACAAAACTGCCATTTGCACTTAGGGTAAATTGGTTGACTTGTGCTTTTACTGTTCCTTTTATTCTGACACAAATTTATGAATTCTGGAACTAACCAAGTCGTGTGGTTTCCCAGCTGACTTTAACAAATCTGCCCATTTCATTCCATTCACTCTTCAAAACATCACTGTAGTAGTTTCAGACTTGAAACAGATATTTTTAAACCAGTGAGCTAGTCTGACTTCCTCATTTCCTATGAACATTTACTTCTCTCATTTTCAAAGGTATCAGTGACTGAAGCAGATATGTTATAACAGCGTAAGGCAAGTGTAGCAAACAGTGGTGTGCATTTGGATCTATCCGAGCCAAAAATATACCCGAAAAATAACTTATTGGTATATTTTGGCTTCCTAAATGTGTCTGGATTTTCTCAGGGAAAATGGGGGGGAATTCTGGAGAAAATTCTGGATATATTCCGGAAATTCATGTAGATTTGAAAACAGTGGAGCAGCAGGAGCAGATTTCTCCCACCCAGGCCCATAGCCAGGATTTTGTGGCTTGTGGGGCAAATTTTTTGTTTGGTGGGGCTGGAGTTCTCAGTGCAGAAAGAAAACCCAGAATTCTGAGGATTATGACACAGCTACTCTTCTTTCTCTGAGTCTTTTCAAGCTGTCTATTCTACATAGGTGTTCTTATGCTAGCAATCACCCTTTGCCTATTCACCATTTAGCCAAAAAAAAGGCAGCCCAGCCACAGTCGCTGTGCCTGAGGTGAGCCAATCACTACCTGCAGGTACAGCTCTGTGCTGCCTTTTCCTGCCACCAGGTTTAAACTGGGCAGCAGGAGAATGCAGCCCAGCTGGGATCGCTGTCCCTGTGGGGAGTTGATAGTTCCTTGCAGGTGCAGTTCTGCACTGCTTTCTCCTGTCATCCAGTTTAAACTGGGCTTCTGGATCGGAGTGGTATTTTTTACCAACATTTTTCAGTTCAGGCCTGTAGGACCCACCAAAATTCAGGAGTTCCTAACAATCCTGGATCCGAATACCGGTATTTGGGTCTGGGATTTTTCAGGAATCCTGAATTATTATTTATTTTTTTTTGGGGGGGGGGGGGCCCATAAACCCCAATAGACCCGAAATGAAAAATACCAATATTTTTTTTACATACCCCTGTGTAGCTATGTAGTAGTAATGTTCCAAGGAAAGCCACATTAATTTTCAGTGCATTGTTTCTGACACGTTTTGTGTAACATATTGTACTTTCTTCCTGAGTAGATTCTTTCAAGGCAGTCTGTTCATTTATATCTATGTCCTTATTATGATTTTTAGTACCACCCTCAGACATTTTTTTGCTCATCAAGTGAAGAATCTGACTGCACCTATCACATTTTTATTCCACCACTACTCCAAGAAGCTCAATGTCGCATACATTGTTGTCCTCAACTCAATTTTATTCTTACAACAAAACAGTGAGGCAGGTTAGCTTGAGAAGAGTTAGTGACCCACAGTCTCCAAGTTAGCTTCACGGGTAGGGATGTGAACCCTGGTCTCTTCAGCCTAGTCTAACATGAATATACCACATTGGCATTGACAACTTATTTTTCAATAACTTCCCAAGGAAGCCTGAACTCGGCAAAATAGCACCTCCTTTGGAATCTGTTGTCCAAAGTGACTAATGCTTCTGGATTCATAGTAGAACTGGCAGGTGGATTCCCACTCATTTGAGAAGCCTACTCACTGCCCCAGTCTTTCCCTGTCAACCCAAACAACTTCCTAAGATTGTAGTGATGATACACTGGATATTGTTGTGATGATGCCCATGCTGTCATGAGTTTCTTCAGAAAGACCATGATACCAATGTTGACGTATGGAATTGTGGAATTTCAGGCCTTGTTGTCTTGTACTTTTAATCAAATGGTTGAAAGCTCAGGTCATGTTGGAGTGTGCTTAGAGAATAGCAATAGTTGGGTGTCAAGGCAGCATAGTGGACTAGTTCAGGCCTCTTATGGCAGCTGTTCTTTACCTTACCTTCATTGGTGGAAAGAAAGAAAATGGCCCATAAGAATGAAAAGCCCTAAATACATGAACAACTTGGGTATTTAAAAATTATAAGCTGCCGCACTGGTTCAGCAAAACACATCTGAAAATATTAGTACTGATGAAACACAGTCTTATCATCCTGTTAGTGGGGATGTTTGGCAAGGTGCCAGTAGTGAAAGGAGAGACAGTTTTCCAGGTATGTGCACCCCAGGTCATTAAGAGCTTCAAAAGTAAGAACGAGCATTCTAAACTGAACTGGAAATAGGTAGCCTTTCAGCACAGGTATTACTAGTTTCATGCTGGCATGCACCACTTTTTTGCACTGTCTGAAGTTTTTGAGATGTCTTCAGGGACAGTCACACATAGAATGTGTTACAACAATGCAGTCTCAGGTGGACAGCAGTGTGGATCAGCAAGGCTTCTGTCAACTTATCCAAGGCACCTGCTAGCAAGTTTCATGATAAACTGGCAGATGACCAATCCTGCTCCTGCTGCTGGGCATCTGCTAGCAAGTTTCATGATAAACTGGCAGGTGACCTGTTCTGCTCCTGATGTTTAACATAAGGTATATACAGTCAAGGCTTTCTGTTCTGCCTTGAGCCACTATTGTTGGTGAGAGATATGGGATATAAATATTTGAATAAATAAATATTATAAATAAAAGCTTGCTACTGTCTGCACTGGGAATCTGCAAAAGGAAAAAGACTCATAAAGAATTATAGCCACCACCACTTCCCCATCCTCTAGTTTAGACCTGGTGAAGCATTATATATCCAGAAAGAGTCAACTGAGATAGAATAATATAGTCAGCTTCTGTCCAAGCTAGGTCCATGATTTCTTCTGAAAGCAATTCATGCATTGCAAAGATCATGTTCCTTACAAACCTGATATTTCACAACATCAAGAGAGGAGACAGGCCGTATCTCAGTGGCAGAGCATCTGCTTGGCATGCAGAAGGTCCCAGATTCAATCCCCAGCATCTGTAGTTAAAAGGAACGTACAGTAGGTGATGTGAAAGACCTCTGCCTGAGACCCTGGAGAGCTGCTGCCAGTCTGAGTAGACAGTACTGACTTTGATGGACCAGGGGTCTAATTCAGTATAAGGTGGCTTCACATGTTCAAGACTGAATCAGAAGGTACCACTGAGAACATCTCTATCCATATGCCTTTAGATGAGCCAGAGAGTTGGCAAGCAGTGAGTACCATGTCTCCCTGCTTGTCTCACACAACCTACACCCCTTCCACTCTCACACCTTCTGCTTTCATGCACCACCTCAATATCTTGAGACCTGTAGCAACAATTGGCCAACCTCTACTTGTGCTACAAAGTAACAGCATACTAGGTACCAAATATAACAACCCTCTCCTACAGACCCCACAACCTACCAGATTGGCTGCTAAAAGAGCTCAAAAATAACTCCCCCCAAAAGCCAGAGGAATGGTACTATTATTAAAGAAAACTAATTTTTGTATCCTACAGATCGATAGAGTTAGGAGGGAAGGCAGTATAGCCCAATCTTGTCAGATCTCAGAAGCTATGCAGGGTTGGTTCTTGGAAGTGATAGTGCCAAGGAAGACTCTGCAGAGGAAGGCAATAGCAAACCACCTCTGCCCCTTGCTGGGGTTGCCATAAGTCAGTTGCCACTTGATAGCACTTTACACATATACAGTGATTGATAGAACAGAAGTACATACACCATTCTCATATCATCTGTTAACAGCACACTTGGAATTCAGGACAGTTGGAGTATTTCCAGCTGATTTGCATGTGCATGCTAATCATTTGATGTCTCATTACTTGATGATGTATCTTTAATTGATTTCAGTCAACAGTGTGATAGTCATCCATTGATAAGAATTGTGTCTTGGTTGGTATTGGGAGTTATAAAAGTTCTGCCTGGGGAGATAAATCTCTGATGGGTGATATACAAATGCAAGTGATTTTGAAGCGCTGAACATGCAAGTGTAAATGTGATGCAAATATTAGAAAACATGTTTTAAATGTTGTGCCTCTGATACATACAGAGCTCCTCTGTATGCCAGAAGCCCCCAAATCAAAAATGTTGCATCTGTTCTACAGCAATTATCCTGTGTAATTTTGTCTGTTTTACAACAGGATTGTTTAAGACCAATGTGCCTTTGAAATACAACATATTATTAAATGCTGGCAGTATCTCACCCCTTATAAATTCAGTTGGGCAGCCAAATTTTGCTCTTTTGAATGGTCTGGATCCATACACGCAATATGAGATAAGGATACAAGCCTGCCAGGATGGTAAGACGTTAAGTAATTCTCTTTTGTGATCAGCAGACAGTGCAGTTTTGCAAAATAGATTCTGTTCAGCAAAACAGATAACATCTTATTTCAAAATTGAAGTGAAATGTTTACCTAGTAAAAGCAAAGCCTGGCACTGAGTGGTGCATTTTACATTTCTCCATATTATATCATGAATATTTTAAAAGAAAATTTAAAACGTTAGCATTTGGGGGAACATATTTCTTTTTATCAAATGCATTATGAAAAGCATAAAAGTGAGTTAGTTTTTTCAAATGTCCTAGAAGTACACATAGGATGATATCCATGCCATTACATCAGCAATTTTATTATTATTTATATAAAAGTCATAGAATACTGTTTTCTTATTCAGTTTTACAAGGAATGTCTGAAACTTGATCTAAAGAAACCTGTTAATAAGATATACGTGACTTGCACTGGTGTAACTCCACAAAAACTATTGATATTGAACTTCAGGATCCTGACCTGTTGGAAATTATAGGGAAACCAGGAAAATGGCTCGTTGTGGAAATAAATACGAGCTCTAGAAAGAGGCTCTGGGCGGGTGCCCTGGCCTTGGACACTCAGTGTCAATTTGCTGTGGCAACCTCAGCAGGGTATAATGACACTGAGTCCACCATTTTATCCAGAGGAACTGATCTTTGCTACCTAAAGAACAGTTGTAATTTTGAGTGGTCTCCACCCATCACCTGGCAACGATGGTTCCCCAAAAGGGAATGGTTGGTTTGGAGGGTGGAATCTATGGCTTTGTACCTGTCCGAGGTCCCATGCCTCCTGAAACCTCACCCTGTCCAGGCTCCATCCCTCACATCTCCAGGAATTTCACACCTGGAGTTGCCAACTCTCTCTCTTTCCCAGCCAATCATCAACCCACCTTTATTTCCCCCTCAGTCTTCAGCTTTCCATCCCCCACACACCTGCAGCCTCTCCCTTGCTCTGAAGCCCTGACTGCTACATCACATTGGCTGTTATACGGGGGCCACCTCAGCAGCATACAAGAATACAGAGCCCACCATTTTCTCTAGGGAAACTGATCTCTGCCATCTGGAAAGCAGTTGTAATTCTGAGTGATCTCCAGCCCTCACCTGGAGATTGGACACATTTTACCTCAGAACAGCAAACTGTTTAGAATGTTAGAGGCAAAAGCCAATCAAGTCACATATGCAAACGACCTCTGTGTTCCGAGGCAAAGGCCTATGGGGGGGAGAGGAATAGCAAACTGTTTAGAATGTTGGAGGCAAGACTCAAGCAATGCAGCCAGTGGATAGGAACAGATTCTGAGTGACACACCAGTGCGCCAACCAATTCTGGAGCGTGTGGAATGTTCTAGAGAAGTACTCCGCCATTCGGCTTTTATATATAAAGGATATGGCATTGATCCTATTGGGAGAACAACTGAGGAAGTACAGAGTGGTTTTGAAAGCTTAGGTTATCCTGTCCTTATATATAAAGCCATTTTCGCGTCCAGCGTTCGATGCGCACCAACAGTGGTTGGCCGCAAAAAGTGCCAGTCAGAAGAGCTGGCTGGGTTGGCTGGCTGCTTTGCAGAGTCCCACCCATGTCAACCCCAGCCAGCTTCTTCGACTCACTCTGCTCTGGTCCTCGGACAGGAGAAGACCATCTGCAGGGTAAGCGCAGGAGGCTCGCAAGGCCGAGGCAGGCAAGCCGGGGAGCACTCCAGAGGCCGCGGGGAGACATTTAAATGTCTCCCCAGGGCTTCAGAGGCCCAGCTGGAGAAGCCCTGCAGAGTTGCCGTTTTCTTCCCCACCACCACCAGTCCTGCGCCTTCTCTGGGCCCTGCCAGGCCCACAGTCACCGGTCCCCTTTCCCCCCCCCCACAAGTCCTGCAGCTTCCCTGGGCCCTGCCGCTTCCTTCTCCCCCCCCAAATCCTTGCACGTGGCTTCTCTGGTCCTCACCAGACCCAGGGTCGCCACTTCCTTCTCCCGCCCGATCCTTGCCTGCGGCTTCTCTGGGCCTCACCAGACCCAGGGTAGCCACTTCCTTCTCCCGCCCGATCCTTGTCCGTGACTTCTCTGGGCCTCACCAGGCCCAGGGTCGCCACTTCCTTCTCTCCCCCCCTCCCGAACTGTCCCCCTGGCTTCCCTGGGCCCTCCTAGGCCCAGGGTCACTGCTTCCTTCTCCTCCCCCCAATCCGGGAGATGCTTTCACAGCTCCCCCTGCCCTGCTTCTCCCACCTGCCTGGAAAGCCAGATGGAGAGGAGAAGCTTTTGCAGGCCCCCCGTGCCTCCCCCCCTTCTTCCTTC